AGAAAGGGAGGAGAAAGGATTGCGGCATGAGCATGTCCCACTGGGGGGTAATTTCTCCTTAGTTCTCTCTATTTGTCTCTCTCTGGTGAGTGCGCCTAGCTTCTGGAATATTTTCTAAAAAATCTTAATTTCTAATATTCAGTAAAATTTGAGAAGCACTGTTCTAAAGGATTGCATGAAAGTTATAGATCAAAAAATCAGAAATCAAACTGTAACTGAACTGTGTCATAACTGAAACTTAAATCTTGGGACCAGCAGATGACGAAATGGTCACATTGCTGGACTCCCACGTAGTAGACCAGTGTCTGAATCCCAGACAGGTAGTTTCAAACTCACGCTGAGCACGAGTGTGCATGCCCCAAATCCCAAGAGTACAGTGGAGGAGAAGGGATTGCAGTGTGGCCATCCTCCCTGGAGGGGTGATTTCTCACTTTCTGTCTCTCTATGTGTCTTTGTCTGTCTGGCGAGCATATGTACCTAGAGCAAAAATCTCTCACAAAAACAACCAAACTCAACTTAGTGTAGTATGCTTTCTCTTTATTGCTAAGGAGTTAAATATTAAATTAAAGTCTTTTTTCTCTTTTTCCTTTTTCTCTGTTCCCCCTTAGGCTTTGATTGGTAACAATTTACCCCATCCAAGTAAGCAGACTGACGATACTCAACACTTGGCATTGGGGTAACAGGGACCATGTCAGCTACGCCATGCTTCTCTTCTCTATAGGAAAGTATCATTTGTAAGATTGTCTTATAAAACCCAGCAGAATCAGAAGAAAGAGAATACAGTGTCTCAAGGTCTATAGCTAGGAGTCTAACCAAGAATAGAGATGGTGGAATTTCCCCACACTCACCCTTCCTTCTTTGTTTTGGCTTACACCCCCAGGCCTTGTAAGGCTAATAAAATGGACTTCCGGTGGGATGGATCATCCTTTGTGTCTATCTTCCAAGTGATGCTCCCTGACCTTTCTCTATGCTTAAACTCCAATGCCTTAGCTACGAATTTTTGTTGGTGAGTTGGAATCTGAACTTGGATTTGGTAATCATTACATTTGTTACCCAAACCATGTCTTTCACAGAAGACTTGGAAGTAGGAGAAACTGTGTGTAGACGATAATATCTGTCTGTCATTTGATGATACTGAAGTCCTGGGTAGCACTACCTGAGTGCTTTGACTTAGTGTCAGGACAGACACAGCCCCAGTCCTCAGGCAATGCTTTGCAAATACTTGCTCTTTCCAGGGACGGTTTCACTCATTTTGCATGTATCTGTATTATTAATTCTTATAATACCCCTACGAGGAAGTACTATTTCTATGCCCATTTTACAGAGGCAAAAACTAAGAGTCCAGGATTTGGTTACTTGACCAAGGCCTGAATGCAGAATCGAGAGAGGTTTAATACAAAGAAAGGAGATTCAGTCCAGGCAGCCTGCATCCAGAGTTCTCATACTTGACTACTCTAACCAGGACAGATTACTCCCTCCCCCATGTCCAGAGCCAGACCTAAGGTAAGACATGTGGAACAGGCTCAAGATGTATGGGAGTAAAAAAACTCATTAATTAAAGCAAATAAGATTTTATCAAAATGTTTCTTAAAATAATTATTTATGAGATTTTATTTATTATTATTATTATTTAAAATTTTTATAGGGCATATGCACCCACCAGGGAGAGACAGAGAGAGAGAGAGAGAGAGAGAGAGAGAGAGAGACAGAGAGAGACAGAGAGAGAAAGCGAGAAAGCAAGCCACCAGGCCCATGACTTGAACCGGAACCACATTCAGCTGAGGGAATCCGGGTCCCCAGCCACCACACCATTTGCTGGACCTAAAATATTTTAAAATAAAATCAATCCAAAAATCATAATAGATAAATATTAAATTTTTAAATGGTTCTATGCTGAGCCATACTGGAAATTTGAAAGAAAAATCAGCAGTATTGAGTCTTTATTAAAAATTTAGATATTTTATTTATCATAGATTTTTGGCATTAATTTTGATACTTTAAAATGGTCCATAAAAATAATGTCTTGATGACTGAGATGTTTTTGTGCCTTCTTAAATGTTACACTCAGGTTCAATGCCACCATCACCTCCCTAGATTTTGCTTAGCCCGACTTTCCTTCCTCCTTCCAAACATCTTAGGTGCAGGCCTTCAGGACAAACCCCGGGGGTGTTTACAGTCTTTTCCTGCTTTATAACAACCACTGCAGTAGGCCTCTCTGTTCTTTACTGTTCACTTTCTCCTCTTTTTAATTATCTCCATCTCTCACTCTCTCTGCTCTCCATCCTTCCTACCACTTCTCCATCTCATTTTCCACCCCTTGTGTTCCCTCCCTACTACTGGAAGCATTTAGATTTCTGCTTACTAGGATACAAGGCCAATGACTCAAACATTTCTGTGCTGTGCAGGGGTCATGCCACGCTCATGGCAGCTTTAGGCCTTCCTAGAAACCTCAAGCCCGATGATAGTGGCCATGTTTTTTCCAAGAAATTTAAATCGTCACTTTTGTGCTCTGAAGGAGGAGGCTAATATTTTAAATTTTTTATTTATTTATTTATTTTTTGAGAGATTTTCACTGTAGGGCATGTGTGCTCGCCAGACAGACAGAGAGAGACATAGAGACAGAAAGCGAGAAATCACCCCCCAGGGGGGATGGTCACGCCGCAATCCCTTCTCCTCCATTCTCCTCTCGGGATCTTGGGCACGCACGCACACGCGCCCGGCGTGAGTTTTAAGCCACCGGGTCCGGGACACGAACCGCGGTCGACTACGGGGAATCCAGCGACATAGCCATTACGCTAACTGCTGGTTCCCAATATTTTACACTTCTAAGTTAATATATATTTGATCTTTTATCCAAGTAATAAAGGAGAATTACCTGGGCAAACAACGAGCAACCCAGCTATGTGAAGAAGGTCGAGGCAGCTCTGGTCTCTGCTTACCTACAGTTCTATGGGTATAAATTCAGGGCTGAATTCTATAACATACACCTTCACATCAATGATAGTGGGGTAACTCCTAACAGGCTTATAAAGAAAAAGATTCCTGTGTAGCAGAGCAGAATAAGTAAGAAGCCATATTTTATTATGAGATTGTTCTGTATTCATGAAAGAAAATGGACTCCCTGAGTCTTCGACAAGCTCTACCTTTCTGCCACCCTGTCACAAGACCAGGCAGCCTCCTGGAGGAGAAGAGATGATAAGGAGCTAAGTAAGCCATCTTGGCTGAGCCCCCAGACCAACCAGCTGCCAGATCTAGATACATCAGTAACTTCAGACACCAGTAGCCCTGCCACAACCAGCTGGGCACAACCCAAACTGCTGACTCAATGAACCAAATAAAAGGTTATCATTCTAAGCCATGAAGCTTTGAAGTGGTTTACTACTCCATAGCATGAGCTCACTAATACAGAGTCCATTTCATGAAAATAGTTAAGTGTCCTATCATGCCAGAGGCAGTTGAGATGTCTTCCCAACTGTGGGGAAACCACTGGTTCCTGGCTATTCAGGAGCTGCCTTTATTTCACCCTTTCTGCTGGAGAGAGCTAAAGCTTTTTCTCATAGATTTCCGGGATCCCCTCTGTCAACCACCTTTCTACAACCTCCCAGTGTGAACTCTTCCCAGTGTGTTGAGATTGGTGAGTTTAAAACCTACATTTCTATTTCTTGCCATTCTTAGCCTGATTCGACCTTACCTTACTCTTCACAACCTTTCTAAAACACAAGGTGAGAGCAGAAAAACTTAATTCCAGGAGAAGAAAAGAGGAAAGAAGAACAGTATCTCCTAACTAAGTGATAGTCTGTACTTTTTCCATCTTATTTAAGTCCTATAATTTGTGGAAAACACATGCCAATTTGTGATTCTTGAAAATGCTCATGTGTTATCTTTCTGGAACTGTTTGGTAAGACCTTATGAGGTAAGTAACATTTTTCTTCATTTTACAGATGAGACCATTGAGTCATAGACACATTAAACAAATTACCCTTGTAATAAGAGAACATCTTGGGAAGAAGGAATTGATATATTGAGAGACCATTTAAAGGAGAAAATCGGCTCCTATAGGGACTATGAACCTTAGGTTGGCAAAAGTATATATAAAATGAAACTGTTAACAGGGTGAAAATTTTTACCTCTAATTGGTATATTAAAATTTTAAGAGATTTGAGGCTTGATTTTAGTTCAGTCGCAAAACACGATGTTCTGTATAGCTGGCCTGCAGGAGAAGGTTCTAGGTTCAAGTCTGGAGAGTCCTCTGAGTATGAAGGGCAGGTACATGGTCGTGATTCTGGGCTGGCTGAAGTCGAAGGTGGATTGTGGTGTGAAGACCCTTTAGGCTGCTGTCTCTCTATTTCTCTGTCTCTCTCACTCATAGGTGAAATAAATAAATGAATATTAAAATTTAATAAAGATTTTAAAATAAAGTTTTTAAGGTAGATTGAGAAAGTTTATTTTGTATATAGAAGAGTATAAAAATTACTTTTATTCCCTTGTCCTCCCTCATTTTCTTACAATTTTAAAAATACAATTGTATTGTGTATACAGTTCAAATTGTATTGTGTATACAGTTGGACGACTCGGAGTCCGTTTTCTTTCAGCCCTTATTGTGTATGAGTTCAAACTTATACCCTGCATTCCCACCCTTCACACCCAGTAGGTAGGTGGGCAATGAATTCTTGGTTCATTTAAAAATTATTTATACTTTATAAAAGTAATTATCTTGCACCTTGGATTTACCTTTTTTTGGTCATATCTTTTTTATAAGAGGGAAAATAACAATAAGTAGCAAAAAGGATGAAGCACAACAGAAAAGTTTTTACCGCTCAAGACAGCATTGGTTCCCACCTGATGAAGAGCTGACTGCTGTATCCTTTCAGCTGGAAAGGGTAAGGGCTTCCTCTTCTCTCGTCTTTTCTTTCTTCTCTTTTTTCTTTTCTTCTCTTTTCTATTCTTCTCCCCCTTTTTCTCTTCTCTTCCTCCTCCTCCCTTCCTCCTCCTCCTTCCTCTTTTATAAAGAGGTTTTTGCCATAGGGTACATGTGCTCACCAGAGAGAGAAAGAGAGAGAGAGAGAGAGAGAGAGAGAGGAAAACTGGTAAATGATCCCTCAGGGGAAATGTCCACACCACAACAGTCTCTTCACCTCTATTCTCCTCCTGGGATCTTAAGCACATACATACACACACACATGCACACGCACACTCAGCATGAGTTTCAGGCCACCGTGCCTAGGACTCAAACCATGGTCTGACATGCAAGAGTCCAGCAACATAACCACGACACCATCTGCTGCTGCACACACCTAGTTTTTAATGCATACTGGAGTCAGCTCTAATGATTAACATCCCCCATGCTGCAGGTTCCCTATGTGCCTTCCATGCATTTTCTCAGCCTCTCTCACTCATTATAGTCCTTTGGTACCCTCTCTGCTATGTGACTATGTTTGTTGGTAAGTACTACTATTATTTTTAAGATGTGGCCAGTTTCTTGATATTGCGAAATCCCACTTCTGTACCAGCCAACCAAGGACAGCTGCTTTTTCTCACAGTCAATGGAACCAGAGGCAGAGACTGGAGTAGAAGGGAGTTTATTTCTGTAACTGGTTACAGGGAGACCATTGACAGGTAACATCAAACTACTTGAAAGGTGCAGCATGTTCTTAGTATTTATAGGTACAAGACACAAGCACATGCAAATCGTTCCTCACTACAATCGATCAGAGTCGAATCATCCTGATTCCTTCAACTACCATTCCTGGTTTCTCATTTGACCATGCCTTGAACAGCTCTCCCTATGACTCAGCACTTGGTCAGACTGATCTCATTGGAGGCCTTTCCTGGTTTCAAAATGGCCACAGTCCTGCTAAACTTTAAATTGGCCTGCTTTGGTTGTTCCCTCATTAAATCATTTTCTTAATCCCATATTATCTTTTTTTTTCTTGTAATTGAACATTATATTTTTCATAGAAACATTTCATCTCACACTGGGACTTATTTTCAAGAAAAATGTAAAGATTACTGTGGTGGGTTCCTGTCCACTCATTCTCTTGACTTCTTAGCTTTCCCACTTTTTCTCCTTTTCCTTCTGAATCCAGTACTATAGTCGCATTTGAGTCTCAGCTACATCACCTCTATTCTGTGACTGTGACAAAATTATATCACCTTTGCCTCAATTTACCTATCCACCAAGTGGGGACATAAGGACCAGTGTACTTATATTCCAGAATCAGTGTGGTGATCAAGTACCTTCCTGCTGTGTGGCCCACATGAAACACACAATAAATATATGTTGTTGCTTTCTTTATCTGCACTGTAGGCTTGTGGACAGGTCATTGTAGTTAATAATGCACAAGCTCTTACTGGGATCCAGATCTCTGACTGCTCAGCATCTGTTTTCTGTATGGTTCTGCATTACCTTCAAAATTTCCTTCTGCCCACATCTATGAAATGATTCATAATAAATGAGGCTTGTAATTATTGACATATTCCTATAGACAGCCACAGTTTAAATGCTGAGCTCTTTTTGGTTTTGTTTATGCATCGTAAGTGCAATTTTTCTTTTAAGTGTGTGCATCCTGAGAGAAAGACTCTAGTCACAAGAAGAAGAGATGATATGAGAGATGGGAAAGAATGAGTGTGGCAGGATAAATACAATAACTGCACAGTTCATTCCAACAGTGGTTCTTAAAATATCTAGATTGGCTCTTTGTGGTGGGCCAGTCGAATAGAGGAAGTGGATTTGATAATGGCAATGAAAATATCAATTTTATAGATGAGTTAATTATGGGCTAGTTTTCTGTATTATAGTCTTTATATACTTTTTTGTGTGAGATCAGGGTGGGAGGAAAGAGAAGATAGAAAATATGAATGTACACACAACCATGAGTGAAAACAGCAAAGCAATAGAACAACCCTCATCTGGCCACGTCCAGAAATGACTCAATGACCTGATTTGCATTTAGAGATGTCTAAATGTGATTCTTCCAACTCAGAGACATTTTCTTCATCTTCCTTATAATTACTGTGTATGTAGGATAATAGAGGAAAGAGTAAAGTGGTTGGGTTATTTGAGTGGTAGCTGAGGCTTAGCCTGCCCTGCCTTCATGTCTTTGTAATTATAACACTAAAGACAAAGACAGATGGCAAGATGACTGGTGTGAGGAAGGACTGTCTGAGAGAATGTACCTGTTAGAAAACAGGTCTCTTTGATAATCTGGACATCTTATTATTCCACAGATACATCTCATTGCTAGGCTTATAATCAGAAAGTTTTCAGCAAGCAAGATCACACAAACAGATTTTGAAAAAAAAAATATGTGTTCTATCACAAGGTGCAAGGCAAAGACGGAACATTCTATTTTCTGAAATCCCTTTTAAAAGTTAGAACTTAGTGAGCTAGGTGATGATGCCACTGGATCTACATGGGAAAGATCCTAGGTGTGTATCTAGTCCTGAGACCTCCCCGAGCACACTGGGTAGGAATGCCTGTGATCTAGGCACCTGAGTCTCAGGTGGATCTTGGCACTAAGGCCCTGTTGGGAGGGCTGTCTCTCTTCCTCTCTTTCAGATGAAATAAATAAACTTTTTAAAAAGTTGGCATATTGGAGGAGAAACTTGACTCGGAATAAAATCATTTACTTTTCTTCACAAACATTGACTTATTCTGTGTTTTACTACATATGATTCTTATGTTCATTCTGTAAACATTGCATTTTTGCAGTATTGCCAAGGTAACATCTGTCAAAGTTATTTAACATATAGTATATCATTATAAAATGCTCACGAATAGGTGGATAGTGCCCAAATCAAAACAGAGGCTATGCAAACTTCTCAATCTAGTTCTCAAAAACATTCCACCATTAAAAAGAGAAATAGGGAAGGAGAGAAAGAATATAAAAGGGGAAGGATGAGCAAAAAAAAGATAAAATCATAGGTAAATGACAGATACAAGTAATTCTAAAACTGTCATTGAAAGTTTAGAAATATATACATATATATACATATGTACATGTATAAATATAAATACACATGTGTATATATGTGTGTGTATATATATATATATATATATATTACACACTCACATCAGGGCCAAATGTCTGTTTGATCTCCAAAATCTAGGTTCTTTCATATTTTGTGAAGCGTATTTTGTTCTACTACAAGAAATCTCTTACACAGAATTTGAAAGAAAAAAAAATTAAAACACCTTAGAATCTTTGAAGAAAAACCCAAGCGTAATAGGCTATGATGTCATTTAAAGCTAAGTTTAGCTCTTATCTGTACCGCTCAACACACTGTGAGGTGTTGGTAAATTTATTTGTACTGTCCTGGACAGCATCCTCTTTTTAAAAAGACTTAAAATGTAAGAATGAAATATGATTTTATACATACACACACATCCCATATATATAAATGAAATATACGTAAATAAAACGTAAGTGTGTGGATCGTCCAATGCCATGCATCTTAGTCTGTGACGGACTACATATGTGACAATGGGTTCATAAAATTATAATAGGCTAAGCATACTGTATAGCTGTACTAGGCTATACCATCTAGGTGTAAGTATGTTCTACGATTTTCTCACATCGATGAAATCATTTAAACATTCCTAGAATGTACCCTGGTTACTCATCAACACATGAGAATGCATGTATACATCTACATGAATAAATAACACACCATGTTATCAGTGGTTTGATCAAATTGTCCACTTACTTAATCTTGATGCTATGTGATGCTGACCTTCATGGAAAGGTTCTGGGTTTGTGTCTACCCAATGATCCAGGTTGGCTGAAGTTGGGGAATAGTTGGTAGCTTCAAGGCCCCGTTGAGGGTGCTATCTCTTTCTCTCCCTCTTTCTTTGTGTCTCATTCCGATAAAAGGAAGAAAGAAAGAAACTTTAAACAAATTTTTATGTTAGTTTACTATTGCTCTTGGAATAAAATACCACAAATATAATGGCTTAACATAACGCAAATTACAATCTGGAGGTCATAAGTCCGAAATGGGTTTTTAAGCTGAAGACAGGTGTTAGTTGAACTGCATTCCTCCTAACACCTCTAGGGGAAAAAAATCTACTCATTGTCTCTTACAGTTTCTTTGGCCTCATCAGCCTGAAAAACACACTGCATGCATGTGTGGCCAGGATCCTGGCAGCCTGGAGGACTGGAGGATGGTATTATGGCATGACTACACCCTACGGAGGGAGGGCTTCTTTCTCTCTCTTTCTGTCTCTTTCTAATGCACATGTGCTCTATTATGAATAGTAAAAAGTGTATGGCTATCATGCATTCACTCATTTCCTAACTAATGAATGAGTTCTTATGCTGAGTAGAACAGTCTTCCAAAGCATTGGTCACATCAAAAAAGAAATAGGAGGGGGAAAAAAAACTCTTTC